GTCTGTATATACAGTTGTATGTATATATAGTTATATATGTCTGTATATACAACTTTTACAAATTTGGAGCTTATCTTAGAAAAGGTATATAAGCGAAATGACAATCGGTACTATACTAGTACTACTCTCTGAATGAATTCTACAGCTGAAAATTTGTCGAACTTTTCATCAAGGCGTTGAGGTTACTTGTCTATTTGGTCGGAGTTTTTGCTGCCTGGTAGGTTGCCCATTGCAACATAAACTACAGTTACAATATTATTTAGCAAAAAATATAGTTTTGCAGTTAGTAGTTGTTTTGTTCCGTTGTTTTTTTTTTTTTTTTGAAAGTTATAAATAGGGTGAGGGTCCCTGTTCTTGATATATATATATATATATAAATATGATTGAAAATATTTACATGAACAAACACTACCACATAAATGATCTATTGCAACAGTTAAGGCGCAACGGTTTTAACTGTTGCGTTAGAGATCTATCGTAACGGTTTTCAGTGTCTAATACAACATTTAATGAAAAACCGTTGCCATAGACTTAATAATTGTTCATGGGCTTAATAATTGTTAGTGGCATTTGAGGTTTAGTAAAGCCCATGGTTTGACCGCACCGCTTAAACCCCACCGCTTAAAGGAAATCTCTCTCTCAAATCCCTAAAATCGCCACCGCCATGGCCAAAAAATTCCGTCGCTGAATTCGTCTCTCTCTCTCAAAAATTCCGCCATGGCCTAAAATCGGCGATCTCATCACTGAATTCGTCGCTGTGTTCATCGTGGATCTCATCTCCTATCTCCTCTCCGATATCATCTCCTACTCTCGTTGGTCTCGTCGCCGTTTTCAGTCAGCGCCGGAGTCCATCTTCTTCATTATTCGTCTCTCTCTCTCGTTACTCCAGAAATCGAGCCCAGTCCTCGCCGGAGCTTTCTAGGGTTTCAGCTGGTAAGATTTCTGGGGTGTGTTCGAAGTTGCAGGTCCTGTACATTTGACATCCGTGGATTGGTAAGATTTCTGGGGCGATTCTTTAATTTGGCATTCAATGTTACTTCTGCTGTATTACTAATTCTTCAATCAAATACTAAACATAACTCAATATCTTAAGACTATTGCTCGAGGTTCCCCGTGAAAATTTTTGGAACCAGAACTGTGTGTTCTCCAAATCCAGGACCAGATGAAATTTATGGTAGAAGTAAGTTAGTATTTAACATTTGTTGTAGTAGGAAAGCATAAGTGCTAATATTTATTTGCTATGTTGAACCATACGGCTGAACTGATATGAAATGTTGTATATGACCTTTAACCGCTAAATTTGTCTCCTCCTAAGTACTGCAAAATTGCAAAATTGAAGCACAACATAATTGTGTTTTTGGGAATGAATGGTGAAACTAACTCAAGAATTTTCATGCACCTTGATGGTCATTTCTTTACTGTTAGAAACAATGCATAGGCACATACAGGAACCCTGTTCTTGAAGGATTTGCTGTGCAGAAATGTGAAAAATGCTTACTGCACTATGACTAATCTTATTTCACTTTTCCCTCTTTGTTCATTTTTGTGAGTCTAATACAGCAAATGTCATACTGTATACTTTTTTTTAATAATCTTCAGAATAGTACTGTTGTAGCATATATGACTTGCAATGTAACTGCTAATATAAAAAGAAATCGGCTTATATAGGATACAATCTAATGAAAATTGTTATTAATGGCAACAAGAGGATTGATTTTTACAATTTATTAATCACAATATTTATATGTAGTTATTAATAGTGTTAATCAATTTTTTCTTTCTTCAGACCATATAATAAATGGCGGAAAACAGAGATTGGATGTATAATGCTCCTAGAGTGAGTGTGGAGTTCATTAATAATGTCAATGACTTTCTTGAGAGAGCATTTGCTAATGGAGCAGTAGGGGATGAAATATGTTGCCCATGTCGCATTTGCTGTAATCGTTTTTGGTATAGTCGTGATGTTGTTTATGATCACCTTATTGTCAAAGGATTTGTGGAGAATTATTATGATTGGTTCTTTCACGGAGAGGGTGTGTCATCAAGGATGGATGTTGATGACAATAATTGATAATCATATTTTATTACAATTTTATACCCTTATTATCTATTTTATATGAATAAATATACCACTTTTTTCTAAACTCTCTTTTATCATCCGGTTGTATCTTCACAAGTGCATCCATGGCCTAAGCAACGAGGCATTTGATGATTATCTAGCTATATGGAGAGAGGCAATTCCTGAAATAAATCTACCAAAGTCTTATTATGAGGCCAAAAGAATTGTGAAGGATTTGGGCCTTGATTACAAGAAGATACATGCTTGCCCTAATGATTGCATGCTTTACCGTGGAGAAGATGGAGAAAAAGTTGCTTGCAGTAAATGTGGTGAAAGTAGATGGAAGGCAAATAAGCAGGGTGTTCCAGCCAAGGTTTTAAGGTATTTTCCTTTAAAACCTAGAGTTCAAAGACTATTCATGTGTTCTCAGACTGCTGAATCCATGAGCTGGCATGCAAAAGAGCGTCTCCAGGATGGGAATCTAAGGCACCCAGCAGATGGCAAAGCATGGAAGGATTTTGATTCCAATCATCCTGATTTTGCACTAGACCCTCGTAATGTGAGGCTGGGCTTGGCTAGTGATGGGTTTAATCCATTTCGGACTATGAGCATTTCGCATAGCACATGGTCGGTGATCTTGATAAATTATAATTTACCACCCTGGATGTCTCTAAAACCAGAATATTTCATGTTGTCTTTGCTTATTCCAGGGCCTCAGTCCCCTGGGAATAATATCGATGTTTACTTGCAACCGTTGATTGATGACTTGAAAGAGTTATGGGTAGTCGGGTTGCTTACTTATGATGCTTCAAGTAAACAATCATTTTATGTTCGTGCGGCTTTACTTTGGACTATAAGCGACTTTCCAGCATTTGCAATGTTGTCCGGATGGAGTACTAAAGGGAAGTTGGCTTGTCCTTGCTGCAACTATGGCACTTGTTCGCAATATTTAAAATACAGTAGGAAAATGTGTTACATGGGTCATCGTCGATTTTTGAGTGATAATCATCCATGGCGGTTAAATAGAAGAAACTTTAATGGCCATGTTGAGTTAGGAAAAGAACCTGAATCATTATCTGGGATAGAGATTATGGAGGAATTGCGTGGCTTTGTTAATGACTTTGGGAAGAAACAGAAGAAAAAAAATAGAAAAGGGCTGTCCATGGAAAAAATGTCAATATTTTTTGATTTGCCTTATTGGGAGCAGAATACATGTATATTGTTATGACAAGGTAGATTTTAACTTGTATATTGTTATGTCATTGTAGGAGAAGTATTCAATTGTCGATTTAGGACGAAAATGGACCTTGCAAACAATTAATAGTGCATGGAGGCGGTGGAAGTGCTTGCTGAAACGTCAATACTTTACAGGTTTAAAAAATGATGGAGAAAGATGGAAAAAGCGCCCCAAGACTGTTCCCAAGGATCAATTTAGGGCTTTACTAAAGATTTGGCATTCTCAAAATGCAAGGGTAATCTTTTTCTCCTTTAGCATGTTCGTTGTTCTGAATATTTCTATATAAATAATGTAAGCCAAGTAGTACCTAGTGCTTAAATCAGGCTAAACATATATAGCTTGATAAGTATCATTATACACAGACATATATCAACTATAGTCTTTATTATATGTCATCAGAAAAATGTGATCCCAGAAACTGCTTGGTCCTATTTCATCTCTGATAACCATCCCAATATACAAAGAAAGAAATGGCTATTAAAATTTAGGAAGAAAAATGCATATATGGAGTTGCAATATTAACTTTTATATAATTGACACTTAGTGGGTTAGGAGAATATGAATTGCTTCATTCGGTTTGCTTGCCTAAACATCCAATTACCTCATTGTTTCTCTATTCAACTAAGCTACAATAAAGCTTCATTGCCTGGTGCACGTTCAAACAAATTAAAGCCTGTTTTTTTCACTCCAAATTCAGTAGTGAAAAAGACAAGGAAGCCCATATAGTTAATTTATTCAATGTTTTGACAGCAACCTCAACAACCCTCAAAATAGATTTCATGGTTATCCCTCAAACTTATACTTCTTGCATAGTTCTATTAATATGTATGATTGTAATGAAATGTTTTGAAACCATCGTGTTAGTGTGAGATTTATGATGCATCATTTGAGATTTAATTAATTATATTTACAATCGAGACAGTACCACTCACATAGCCACTATTAGTCTACTTCTCATAATACATTTACTAATTCCTTTTTGTTACTTGGTGTGGATGGAGCCAAAGATTGAACCATGTGAACGTTATGCAACTCCTTGCTGTCCCTCTTATTAATGTTCTCTAATGAATTTGTGTATTTATATAAGCTTTAAGTATATTTCAGCATTAGCTAATGTTTTAAGTAGCATTTTGGTTTTATTATATCCATTTTCTTCTTAACAGAAGTCGTAATTATTGTGTTTCATTCGATCACCAACATCACTGTAGGGTATCAATTCCGTTGTTGTTCCTCAAAGTATTGTTAAGAATATTGTTGTGTGACCTGAGCTTGATTTTTAGTTTCTTTTACTTATTAACATGACACATGTTTATTATGTTTTTGTTCACACGTCACACGTACAGTTGTAGTGTATCAATCAGTGTACACTTATGGTTCTCTACATTTTTGTTCTGATACTGCAGATCTGCGTTTATATTGGGGTGTTATTAATACTTGTTGAGTTTTTTGTTTGAGAGGTGTATTTTCATATGGTTAGCCTTGATATCATCCTGATCTTGTGCTATGCAGACTTGCAGTTATGCATGTATGCTTGATTGTACCTGTTGCTCATTGGTAATGGAAAACTATTGTCCTTTGACCAAAAACTATGCTATATTTCTTATTAACAAACAGCTACTAAAGAAGACTACCTCATAATTTTCTTTGGAAAAAGCTTGGCCTCCAAAATAGGGGTCAAAAAAAACAGCATTTATAAGTCTTAGTCTTGATGGTTACAGTGAAACGTCATTCATGGAATAATTGCTATTGCTCATTATGTAGGAAGAATTTATATGGGTTGGTATGAGCTCTCCTATCCAAAAACCAACAATTTTCCAACTTAAGCGGTTTATACTCATTACTAACTCCAAAATATAATGTCATTTCCCTTTTTCGTTAACTCTTGTGATGTTAAGTTCAAGTCTAAGATAACCTTACGAGAGTGAAATTACCTTGAACAAACTAAGTATGATTGTATAAAATTTAGTGATAAAGAAAACATTACTCTTCTGATTGGTTCTTTGTTCTTGTTTTGTATGCAAGTCATTGCTCGGCTGTGCTATAGCCATAGGCAACTACAATTTCCCATATCAAACCATAATTTTACATTGTAACATTGTCTTTGATGTCAAATTTTTGCTGATCTTTCTCAATCTTCAACAGATATGTGAAGGTTTGGAGTTCATTGAACAAGCACAGCATATGTTTCGTCAACAAGAAGATATGAAAGGGCACTCTCTACCAGGAAATATCTATCCATGTGAACCATTTACTTCGTTGAATTCTTCTGGAAACATTTATGCTTCTCACAAGAACATCAATTCATTGCATGATCTCATAAACAAAGAGCTGCGTAAGTCTGAGCCTTCAACTAGTTATACTTCTTCCAACCATTACTCTCTGGGATCACACAATGGGATCATTGATCCTTATCTGTCAGCAATTCCAGTAATCACCAGTCCACAATGTGCATCCACTGTTGTTAGCAACCCATTTTTCAGAATAAATTCTAGAACTAGTATGTCGTCTTTTCCTGTCACAAGCCAGTCTGTAACAGCTAGTTATGGTTCTAGCAATCAGTTCACTGCCAACTTAAATGCAAACAATTTGGCTAATGAACTAGCCACCTCAGCAGAACAAAGAATGTTGCCTGGATTGACAGCAAACTTACATTATTCTAGCTCTCATATGAACTCATTTCAATATCATTCTGGACACTCAATTTCATTATCTTCACCTGCTAAATCCTCGTCCAAATCATCCTCTATTGCCTCAGAGCTACCTGATAATTTCCTCTCTTTACCCCAAGATCCAGTGCCTGAACAATCTGCATCATTCCAACTCAAAAACCACGAGACAAGATCTCAGGTTGATCCATGTGAGCATAACATTCCAAGTGTTCAAAGTGAAGCTATCAGCTGCAGTCCATCAATTGATTTACCTAGCAAACCAGTTGAGATTTCATCTATAACTGGTTGTGATTGGAAACTGACCTATTCAAATGAACCGAGTCAGCTATTTTTGGATAACGACCTGTTTGAAGGAATGGAATTGGATCTGAGCCCTCGAATAGTAAGGCAAGAGTCTTGGGATGACATAATAACACCTATTGGCAGTAGCCGCTTCTCAAACTTGGGTACTAGTGTTTCAGACTGCAAATCTGAAATAGACAAAGAGTTGTTTTCTGGGTCAAGTTTTGAACAATTATTGGAATCAGTTGTCAGAGAAAGTGCCAATTCATCGACTAGTAACAGTTTAATCTCTCTTAATAATGTTGATTGTACTCAAGGAAACACAAAGCCATCCCCTTTATGTGAATTTAACTTCGACAAGATTATACAACAATTTCACGTGAAGAAATCTGCTACATGCATGAAAAGGTGGATTATAACACATAATTCAGTTAGACATTGTTTTGACAGAGATGTTAAATAAACATTTCAGTTAGACATTGTTTTGACAGAGATGAATTAGATTTCATTTATTTATTCCTTGCATAAAAGACATAGATGTTAAATAAACATTTCAGTTTTCTACAATGTAGAGCTGAATGCACCAACATGTAACACCAGATGCTTATCTATGATTTAGACATGCAATGAATGGCTAAATGATTGATATGTTGTTTCATTGTAGGAAAAGGAATTGAACCGGCCTCCTACAGATGCAGAAGTGTTTCTAGAGACTCGTAAAAAGAAGAAAAAAGCACAACCAGAAAAAACACTAGAAATGATTGATACATTGGAACAACTAACTCAAGAGCTAACTCAGGAACAAACTGAAGGAGAAAATGTAGATGCATGGCATCTTGTCAATAAAAAAGAACATCTTGGACGTGTGCGTCTCCGGGGACGGGCGGTCACTCAAAGCATGCTACAAAGCAATAAGGAGAAAGCTATTGATCCATGTGATCAAGTCCCTGAGTCAATTGTTCAAGCAATAACAAAGAAGGTGGTGGCCACTCAACAAGAGGAGATGAAGAGACAACAAGAAGCCCAAGCTACAAGTATGATTCAAACATTTGCAGATATGTTGAGTGAAGTAACTGGACGTCCAGTTAGTCCAAGCTTTGTTGACAGGTTTAAAGCGCGTACTAAACTTCCTGAAGAGGCTGCTAGTGTTCTAGATCATGAAGAGGCAAGTACCTTTTACACTTCGACATTTCTTAGCCTTCTTAGCTCTTGAACTGGTTTCTGTAGTGTTTTCTTGACTCGTTTCAGTTACTTCTTCTTTTTCCTCGTTGCTTTCTTCTCGCTCTCCTTTGTGTTCTTCTGCCTCTGATGTGGCTACATTCTGATTTTGCTACAGTAATAATATATCAGTGATTCTAATTGAGCTATTCTCCTTTTAAGTTCTGTCGAGCAAACTGCATTATGTAATAAAAGTGCTCGTACTGGGTTTAAGACATGCTGAATTCTGGTTTTATACATTTTGTGTTTTTCCGTTCTAATTAGGAGCTCAAATTTTTTAGAAGTTATAGATTTTCCAAGGGGAATGTATCATATTATCGTTTTATAATACTAAATTCTGTTTAGATATGGTAGAATTAAGTTTGTGTGTGCTAACTTCAAAATTGTTAACCCAGACAGGCGATTTTAGTTATTTCTGTTAGTTGATTTGACGTCAACTCATCTTTGGGAAAACTAAGATCATGATTGGTTAGAGCTTAGATGCAAGCTTGGGGATGAATAGGATTGCCTACTGTTTTTTCGAGTAAGAATATGCTTATATTGACGATATGACAAACCCAAGTTCTCAATATGCTTTAAGCTTTCACGCAAATGTTCTCCTAAAAAGAATGTTAATGAAAGTCCTTTGATCTATGGGAGCCAGCACATATACAAAATAATTGAGGGGTGGAGAGGGAAAGATTTGGAGCTACTCTGAAATCTTCTTGCAGGCAGAGAGGGAAAAAAACAAATAAAAATATGAGGGCAGTGGTCATAAGGAGGAGCAAAAGGGCCCAAGAGCTAAACCTCAGTTGGGGCTGCCCTCCCTTAGAAAGGGCTCTTGTTACAGGCTCCTTCAAACTGGTTAGGTGTGCCAAAACAGGAATTTGGGTGGAGAGTGAAGCACATGGTAGCACATGCATGCACACTTGAGCTCTCCCCACAACCTAACAGAAAGACCATAATGTTTAACCATAATGACATGTATGTACACTTGAGCTCTCCTAAAAAGAATGTTAAAGAATGTTAACAAAATATTTGATTGCATAACATGTATGTAGATATGATGTTTAACCATAATGACATTTTATTTTTGTTGATATTTTTTTGTCAAATCTTTTGCAGAAAATGGTTATTTGTAGTTCAAAAAATGTTAATGAAAGTCCCATACTTCAATGCAGGAATTGTCATTTGAATGAAAAGCAAAAGGGCTTGTTTGATGGAGACCCTTAGCAATCTGTAGCCACCTATTTTACTCAAATGGAAGGTTTTGATGCAGGTGGGTTATTTCCTTTATGTTAAGCTATTTATTTTGAATAATTGCAATATCTTTTTTCCCCAATTTTATTATTTCATGCTATTTCATGCTATTGCATTAGCTTTGTACTTGTAAACTCATAAATTTTATTAGGGGAATTGTTAATACAAACTACTATAATAGAATTTTGTCCAGAATATGTGGGTAACTGAAAGTTTGAAATACAAATATTAAGTAGAGATTGTAGTTTCTAGGTGCGACTAGGACGACATGAACGAAATTGAGCTTGGATAAAAGAAGACAATTATTATGCAAAGTGCATCTTTGATAGCATTTTAAGTATTTATTTTGTCCCCATGAAACAATTATTATGCAAAGTGCAGATCATAATCGCCTAGAAAAAAGAAGACATATCCTGAGTTGCATTTTCTTTTTCCCTGAGATGCTATTGAGCGACATTTTGTTGCATTGAAGTAGAAAAATTCATGTCCAGTCAGCGTGCTGGGTGTTATGATGGCGGTGGTTAGGGGTGAGGTTGTTGTATGAAAATCCGTCACCCCCAAAAAAATAGAGGGGGGGGGGGGGACCAGAGAAGTTAATGATTCTCGATAATGCCTCAGTTTGAATACTGGACCTCCATGCATTAGATTTTAGATTTTCTAACATCTGCTGAACTACTTTAGAAATTTAAGGTATTTTCCTTTCTAGAACCAACACATTCTGACGCTCTGAATACTCATCAACTTAAGAACTTCCTAGTATAAATTGCTGCTAAGATAACTTCTTTTGTATCTATGCGACTTTATTATATTTCTCAGATTTCAGTACTCTTGCAGGAGGAATCGGTATGCTTTATGTCTTGAGAATTTTTTGCTCCTTTCATCATGCTTCTGGTACTCATGGATCAATATGTTCTCTTAACTTCCTTTTCAAACATCTTTTTTCCCCAATTTTATCATGCATTAGATTTTAGATTTTCTAACATCTGCTGAACTACTTTAGAAATTTAAGGTATTTTCCTTTCTGGAACCAACACATTCTGACGCTCTGAAGACTCATCAACTTAAGAACTTCCTAGTATAAATTGTTGCTAAGATAACTTCTTTTGTATCTATGCGACTTTATTATATTTCTCAGATTTCAGTACTCTTGCAGGAGGAATCGGTATGCTTTATGTCTTAAGAATTTTTTGCTCCTTTCATCACGCTTCTGGTACTCATGGATCAATATGTTCTCTTAACTTCCTTTTCAAACATCTTTTTTCCCCAATTTTATTATCATCATTGCAAAAATTATGCTGATTCATGGAAATTTACACATGTACAGAAATGATGAAAGCCAAGATTGAGATTGATACTGACAGGTTCCTAGTGAGTATTTGACATTGAGGAACAAGTTTTTGGAAACAAATAGAGAATATAGTCTTTGACCGAGAAGTTTCATGTTTTGTAATAAAATATTGATGTACATTGTTTGAATGTTAGTCCGGTACGATATTTTCTGAGTTGAAATGTTGGTAGTGTGGATTTAATACTTTGTAGTTTTTATACTATACTGATGTATGTTGGCACTTATCATTATGGTTGATTATGCTCAACATAATCACTTTTATATTGTGTATTAAAATTTGATTTGGCCATGTTCTTAAAAAGATTGTCCAGGTAATTGAATACTATATTATTTTGACGTAGGAAACCAAGAACAGGTCCTATTGAGCTGTTGCAATAGCTCGATTAAAATCGTTGCAATAGCTCGATCAAAACCGCTGCGATAGCTCTATCCAAACTGTTGCGATAACTCAATCCAAACTGTTACGTTAGGTCTTTTAAAACTGTTGCAATAGCTCCAACTGTCGTCGTAGCTCTATCAAAACCATAGCTATAGCCCAAGAACATGTCCGATTGAGCTGTTGCAATAGCTCGATTAAAACCGTTGCGATAGCTCGATCAAAACCGCTACGATAGCTCGATTCAAACTGTTGCGATAGCTCAATCCAAACTGTTGCGTTAGGTCTTTTAAAACTGTCGCAATAGCTCCAACTGTCGCCGTAGCTCTATCAAAACCATAGCTATAGCCTACTAAAACCATTGCGTTAGGTCTTTTAAAACTGTTGCAATAGCTCCAACTGTCGCCGTAGCTCTATCAAAACCATAGCTATAGCCTACTAAAACCGTTGCGTTAGGTTTTTTAAAACTGTTGCAATAGCTTCAACTGTCGCCGTAGCTCTATCAAAATCATAGCTATAGCCTACTAAAACCATTGCGTTAGGTTTTTTAAAACTGTTGCAATAGCTCCAACTGTCGCCATAGCTCTATCAAAACCATAGCTATAGCCTACTAAAACCGTTGCGTTAGATCTTTTAAAACTGTTGCAATAGCTCCAACTGTCGCCGTAGCTCTATCAAAACCATAGCTATAGCCTACTAAAACCGTTGCGTTAGGTTTTTTAAAACTGTTGCAATAGCTCCAACTATCGCCGTAGCTCTATGAGAACCATAGTTATAGCCTATTAAAACCGTTACTTTAACTGCTTGCCTTTTAAAACCGTTGCGTTAGATGCGGGGGCAACGGTTCAAAAAACCGTCGCAATAGAGTTCAAAACCGTTACGGTAGAGGTAGGGCAACAGCAGCATATGAGGCGGTTTGAGAACCGTCGCACTTGCTCAAGGGCGACGGTTCCATGGCTAACGCAACGGTTTTGAACCGTTGCGTTAGAGAAAATATGTGGTAGTGTTGCCAAAAGGTTCACAGAACTTATCGAAACCCAAAAGACTTTAAAACTTTAAAAATTTTACAGAAAAATTCCTATATTTTACAAAATTCGTAGAAAAATTTAGATTTTAAAAATTTACAGAAAAATTCAGAATTATGGACATTTCTAATTTTTATAAAAAAATTCCCTAATATAATAAAATACCAGAAATCTAAATAAATTATAGAAGAAATAACCTTGAAACTTCAAAAGACTCCTAAAATTTCACTAATTCAGAATAGAACCATAGAACTTCACAAAATCTGGTTAAATGCTGTGAATCTTAATGAGGCACATATGGGTATTTCAATATAAGTCTCTTAAATTGTTAGTATTTTGTTATTAGTCCCTCAAATCTTCATATTTTGATGTTAGTCCCTCCACTTGCAAAAATATGTTGATGTTAGTCTTTGCGATTAATTAGGATAATGAATGACGAGGAAAATTATGTTATATTTAAATTTTTGAAGAAAAATAATAATTATGTCCCTCACTAGTAATACCCAAATCCCCATACCCATTAAGCTCAAGAAATGTAATAAAAGTCCCATACCAAATCCAATTTACAACTCATCTTCTCCAACGAGACAATAAAACATTGAGCTCCTCGACTAAGGTGATTATAATAATAACTAGGAATCCATCAGCCTAACATCAACCCTGATTCATATGGATTATGTAGATTATATCTATACATTCCACTCTTAAATTTATGTATTATTATGTGTGTAAACACTCATAAATTCTTTTTAATACTTTCCGTTGAATTTACTTTTTTTTTTTCGTTTTGATTGGCTTTCTTATTTTTCTGTTCACAGTATAAATTCAAGCTACAAAGCAATTATGTCCATAATGTAGTTATAGTAAAGATATAAACTGAAAAGAAATAAATAAAATATTTGCTCACATGCAATGCACGTGCATCCCAACTAGTAACACTTAAACACCTTATACTTTCTCCTGCCTTGCATTTATATACTTACACTTGTTTTGGGAACACTTATAAATCTTGAAATCGCCAAACCTTCTAAACTTATCTTATAAGTTTACACTTTCACTATATCTTAGATCTTCAATAATGACATGCTCCCCCACAAATCCTAGAAAATTGCATGCATATTAGTCCCTCAAATCGTATAGAATATTGCAAAGTGATCCCTATGTTTGTATTTGAAAAATCTAACCATGATTGGGTTAACTACTAACCCGATATCCATAATCGCCAAACTTTGATGTTTCAAAACTTTGTGAAGCTCAACTTTGGATTAAGGTTCTCTTCTTACCACGGAAGAAGAAGAACTAAAGTGGGTTTAGATTCTTTTAAGCGAACGTTAAGCTTAAACCCGTTAAGAAATGGGTTGGCCGGGGAGCATAATAGAGAAGTATATATACTAATCATTTTGCCTCCACTCCTTAGATAATGGAATATTCTTTTTAAATCTAATTAAGGTGATTTGAGGAAGACCATTTTGCAGCCTAAAGGACTCATTTTCGGCCAAATAAAAACAGATGACAATCATCAAAGTACGTATCCAAATAACTCATGTACACCAGAGTAGACCCATCAACTAGGAACAGCAATAAAAACGGACGACAACAACCAGACATTTCATCTGAATAACAAAAAGTTGCTTGAAGTTAACTTAAAAGGACCTCATGATATTAAATCATTCATGTACATTTATAGAAAGAGAATAATCCTACAACGATCGAATGATTGATTGAAATAGTACTAGCCTAGTAACCAAAATATTAAAGAACCAAGAATTTTAAACACCACATGGTATTATCGATCAAGCATTATTATCGGAGTTCTTCTTGGCCTTGCCAGTCTCCAGTGAGCCAACATGAACATCAGAATCCTCGATGAATCGGCACCAGAACCAGTGGTTTTTCCACACGAGAACCATCTCCTCAATCGGCACATTCTTCGTCTCAGGCAAGAAGTAGTAGATGAAGACCGTCATGATCACACACCATCCGGCGAAGAAGTAGAACAGACCAAACTTCATCTTGCACAGCATGGCAAGAAAAGCCTGAGCAACGATGAAGGTGAAGAACATGTTGACCGAAACATTGATACTCTGTCCTGCTGATCGAATCTCCAGTGGGAAAATCTCGCTCGGCACAAGCCACCCTAGCGGACCCCACGACCATGCGAAGGCGACGACATAGACGCAGATGAACATCACAACAAACACGGCATAGGTCTTGGGTATCACCGCCTCGCCGGTAGTACCGAATTTTATGGCAATCAAAGTCCCAACAATTGTCTGCGTAAAACCCATTAATTAATAAAGGACGTTTGAATATATATATAACTATGAACAATATTCCAAATTATAAGTAATTTGATGAAACTGTGGATGTAGTACTGCTTACCTGACCGATGATCATTTGCAGTCCGCCCTCGAGGAAGAGCTTGCGACGGCCAACCCTGTCTACAGCGAAGATAGAGACAAGAGTAGCGAACATATTCACAGTGCCAGTGATGACGGCAGACATGAGAGAAGCCTCATCCCCGAACCCAACGGTCTTAAACAGGACGGGAGCGTAGAACATGACGACGTTGATACCCGTGAACTGTTGGAAGAAGGGGATGAGGACGGACATCATAAGCTGAGGGCGGTACTTCCTCTGCATAATGTTTCTCCACGGGTGCTTGACGGCGCGAGACTCCTCGCTGGCGACGACAAGATCGTTGAACTCCTCGTCGATTTGGTTGGTGCCTCGGATTTTGCGGAGCATGGCGCGAGCTTTGTCCTCGTGGCCGCGCTCAATGAGGGAGTTGGGAGTGTCAGGGAGGACGAGGGACGCCATCCCCAGCCACCCTCGATCTTGGAAGTACCGTAGTTGATGAGGTTGGCAGCTAGGATGCCAATGGTTATCATCATCTGGAATCCGATGTTGAGCGAGCCGCGATATTTGGCAGGTGCCATTTCGGATAGGTAGACCGGCACCGACTGCAGGGAAGGTACGTACATTCAAGATAAAATTAAGAATCAACGGTGCATGCATGGCGTTTAATAAAACATGCATGTAATTAACAAACTCGCTTGTAGATGGTCTTGATCGATTTCTTGTTCGTTAGTACTATATATTTCGTTAATCTAAGACGTACGTATACATCAGAAACTCAACAAGGTGTAGGGGATTAATTAGTGCTACACAACAGTAATAGAGAGTATATATATGTGTAAAATGACATCACTCTACTGCATTAGAGATCGTGCTATAAGAGCATGCATGTTGACAGCAAAAAGGTATTATTCATGTCGGCCTGACGCATGTAAAGATTTCTAATTGCCAATTGTCGACGGTACGTTCATCTAAAAGAATCAATGAAGGTACATATAGGTACCGTAGAAATTGAAGAGTACGTGTTAATTGTGACATCAAGATGTATATATATTAAAATTAAAACCTAAAAGAAAGGAAGAAAGATAAATAAACAAATAAAGAGAGGAAATTAACACGCGTGCCTGATTAGCAAAGCCGACTCCAACACCGAGTAGCATACGGCCAACAATCAACATGGCGACATCCTTGGCAGCACCGTTGATGGCTGCACCAGCGAGAAAAGTCAAACCTCCGAAGAGCATGGACGGCTTCCTTCCGAAGGATCTCGTCACCGTGGAGGCCACCAGGGACGCAAGCAGAGCAGCAAGATACAGTGACGACGTGAACAAAGTCAGCGCCACGCTGTCAAACTTGCAGTACTGGTTGGTGCTCTGATCTGCCTTCTCCTTTCTGTACACGTCCGGAAAGAACTTTATCAGAAACGAATCCATCGACGTAACTCCTCCTGCATATCATTTAATAATAATAATAATAATAATTTAGAGAGGGACAGAGAGGGGGATTAAAAAAAAAATCAGAATCTATATATATATACATCGATATGTAGCTAGTAGATCAAACGGTGATATATATATATATACGAAAACAATTAATTAACGATCACATATTAATATTAACTAGTTTTAACTAACCTGAAATGCCGATGTCATAACCGAAGATGAGGCCTCCGGTGGCGGCGACGATACAAGTCATGGCCACATACCAGGTCATACCTCCCGGGTACTGCTTGCCACCCGCACCGGGGGCGTTTGTAAACCCTCCTCCACCCGCCATTAATTGAGAATATTTCAAAGGCTGCTTATATATAACCTAAAACCCTAGCTAGCTTTTTTCTTTCTTTCTTTCTTCCCCCCTAAGAATGAGAATAAGAATGAGAGAGAGAGAGCATTTCCGCAGTGGGCGGATGGGGGCCCTATTTATAGATGGCGAAATGAAATGAGATCGTTCGGAAAATCAAAACAGCACCCATTTCGAAACAATTGTCAGCACCTAAACTATTTGCACCCGGATCCCCGCCCTTCCTACCGGGGCCACACGACAGATGAACCGGTTGGTTTCGCTCTGTAAATGTTGTTATCTTTGATTAGCTGTTAATTAGCTTTTTTACTTTCGTAGATTGATATTTGACTGGCTGTTATGTGGCTGTTCGGATTCGCGATCTACAACTCGGATGATGGATAACAACTGATTAATTTTCTCTTTTAATTAATTAATTGTGACGCGTTAGGAACACATGCACTGTTATACATTCAATTCAATTAGGATAAATTAAGGATAACAACTAAGTAACTGTTAGCATCATGCATCGCTGCGTATTAAATTAAATTAGGATAAAAAGGATAACAACTAGTTGGAATCATGCATCTTTATATGACTAGTTTTTACACGTGCAATGCACGTGATTTAATACCATGATTAAGTATTTTTGGCAGTTTGTGCTTATTTTTTTCTTTAAACTCTTACATCCCGATTATTTTTTTATGTTTGTTTAAATGGCATACACCCAATTTAAATTTTCATGTTGATATTTGAATTGACAAAAAACAAATATAATTTAAAAATAATTTGAATTTTCATATTATTTTTGACCGATATGAAACTAAGCTTTATTTGAGAAAGCATAGCATTGCAAAGTGAAAAATATTAAAATAGTGTTATACAAGGAAGGTGAATATTTAAAACCAATATGGCAAAATGATTGATTTAAAGTATGTTAAAACGATGTAAAATAAAATATAAAGTTTATTCCTAATCATTGATAGACTTCATAAAAAAATATAAATTAAAGATTAATGCTAACTCTAGTATACTTTTATATGATAAAAATATCCACATAAGAATATAAAAGTACTAAAAAAAATTCATGAAACTCCCTTCTAAAGATTCCTAATTTCACTCAAAATAATTAAACTATTCTATAAAATATTCATAAAATATTGTTTTTATTTCTTCTATTTTATTTTTTATTGAGTTAAGATCAATCCTTCTTCAGGTTTATCATTTATCATTTCTCGGACAATTCTAGAGTATTGTCTTCATCATCTACATTAATTGTGACATCAGGCTAATTTTATATTTTTTATGCTATTATCTTTCCTAGGCTCGTTAATTTTTTATCATCTCATCTAACTTTACAAAGAAGTCAAATGTACTTATGATGTTCAACACAAACTGCTCAAAATATAGACTTTGATTTTTTTTCTATTTCAATGAGAATAAATATTAATTTCATATATATAAAATTCTTTGTGTTCCTAATTTATTACTTAAATAAATTAGAAGCTATCTCTTTATTTTCCTCTAAAATGAATTCTTCTGATGTGCATCCAATAATAATTTTTGTTATTTCAATAATATTACCTTTTCTCTATCCCTGTCATTTTCCATATAGATCTAAACTAAATACCTGCATTATTCATTACCAATTTCTCTTAGAGTATAATATTAATATTTAATTTGAAGAACACAGTACGGAATTTATGAGTACTTACTAATTTTTCTTATGTCTTCCATGGAGATTTTTTCTTTGATTAGGATAAAGTTATTAAATTATTTTTTAATATAGCTCATTCAGTGCTTCATTAATAGATATGTCTTATGTTAATGCCAATTCAAGTGATTCATTGACGTTTTCTGAATTTTAGATTTATTTCCATTAAATCCATCACTTTCCCATTTGCAATGGAAATAACTCAATTCTTTTAAAGTTATCTCTAAATATTCTAATAGTTTCTCCATATGTAATTCCTTGTATTCTTTTACCCTATAAATATTATTAACGTCAAAGATTAAAGTTTCTAAATTAAAATCAATTAATGCTAAGGTATAATATTATAGTGTTTTATCATTTCTATGGATTTAAACATCGCCTCTAAAATCACATGATTGAGCGACATTATAGATGATCTGCTCCGTTGAACTTGATCTACATATTCTAAAACCCGAACACACCAAGTTTGGGGTGAACCCATCGTCGTTTGACCCTTCATCCACTCGTATCAATTTTAACGGTTTTGAATGAATAGAACTTTTCACATGGCTCGATGGAGGGGATTTCATGTTTTTTATTTTAAGTTTTGAGACATTTGGATGAGCTTTATAATTTTAAAATTTTCACGGTCTTTTCTGCAATTTCAAAACTTTTTATGATTTTTTTTACAATACTTCATGTATTATAATATGTTATCTACTTGTAATTTCTTTATCTTAACAAACTAATATCATTTTTATGTTTTATATATTTTATTAATATTTTAGTTTTTTTAAATTGTTAAGCTAAACATGGTTCACATAGGATTAGGATAAGATATGATTATGATTAGGATAGATTAAGATATAAATAAAATATTTAAAATAGTGAAGGGTAATATTGACTATTGAAAATTAGAATTTGATTATAGATAAGGTAGTTCAAACTATAAAGGGGTATATTTGTCTAAAAAATATTTTTCGAACTCGTGCTTTTAAAGGGAGTATGATTTTTCTGAATGTCCGTTTCTCTCTCAATTTCACAATCTTGCCTACTAACACGTAACATTACAAACTATCCTTAATCTATACTTATTTATTTACTTCATATAATAAAAGATAAAAGAGGATATAAAAGAGGATTGAGGTGTTAAAACTTTTGATTGCCTCCTTTACCCTTCCAAAAGTTGATAATTCACAATAATACATTGGAATTTATTCAATTCATTCTATTTCTTACACTATAATTATTCTTTCACTATACATAAGAACTAGTGTATTATAAATTTTACCAATATTAGTGTTATGTTTAATAAGATTAATATTTCACTTTAGATATTAGATATTACACAACAAATATATAATTATAATATATAAGATAATAATATCATAACTTATATTTATAAATTATACCATAATTTATGATAGTTAAATAGTCAATTAAAGATCTAACATCTAATCCAATACTATAATGTATTGATATGTGCATATGATGTGTAAAAAATCCATGGAGAGAAATACCAATATAAATGTTAACCTCTTGGTGTAGCTAGAAATATCATATAAATTATCATAATATATATTACTAACTATTGCGATATACTTATCATAGTATTTGGATACAAGGTGATTCTAAGCATGCAGAATTCTAAGCAGTGTGGGAAGCTATTACATTTGCTCTTGACATTGGATGAGAAAATATAATTTTTGAAGAAGATGAGGATTCGGTAATTAGAGATATCTGTAATGGGGTGGAGCAACACTCGATTTTTGGACACTTTGTGGATGACATTCAACGATGTTGCACATGACTTGAGGAATGAGATTTTTAGATAGTTCGTCAATGGAGAATATAACGGCCCATGTGTTGGTCTGAAGAGCTAAGGAAATTAATGATTTTATGGTATTACTCGAATACTCACTATCATTTTTACACAATGTTTTACAATCTGATCAGGAGCAGTGTTAATCCTCATTCTTTTGCTATGTTTCTGGGTTTTTAGATTAGTTTTGATGTACCTTACTATTATTTTTGTGAAAATACTATTTGCAATACAATAATTGAACCATAGCTAATAAAGTAATTTATGACATCTCCTATTCTAAACCCACAAATAATGCATTTAATATGAATTTTACTAAGAAAATAAATCTATAATTAAAGGATTCATGTATATTCTCTTACTGACTAATCAAATTCTCTTCATTAATTATGCATTAATAATTTTACGACTTGTCTACTTCCATAAACGTTCCACTTAGACAAGAGTTGCATAAAATTATGATATATATGGATTCTCAAATGCACAAAAGGAAATACTAAAAGAGTCAAAAGAAAAAGAATGGAGGAAGCGAGAATTTTAACAGTGGAGTCAGTCCCTTAATTATAGTAACCAACTGGATACCTTGCAGCCAATAAGATTTTACAGGCGATAATTAAGAGAGAAAATTGTATTGCTTTTTTTAAAGAAACGAACAGATCTGCAACCGGTTTCACCTCTAATTCATGAAAAAAATCAATTAGTTATACATGTATGCAATTTCGTGGAGAGAAAAACTAATATAAATGCCGATAAATCCATGGTGAGTGGGTGGCTGGAGGCTCTGTTTGAGTCCTCTTAGTTGTTCTTAAAAAAAAGTCATGGGTGAGTGCAATGTGAGATGACCTTCAAATGTTTCACTACGACAGAAAAGCTAATCCACGAGGAACAAGTTTGTCATTGAAAGTCGAGATTTCCTCGCCGTAGTGTGTTGGCGAGGAAAAAACTTTGGTCATCATTTCCTTGCGGTAGGGTGGTTAAGAAAAGTTTCTGCGAGGAATATTATAATTTCTCGCGAAATCCTTTTTGCGATGAATATATTCTTTTCTCGTTGTTACTTTTTAGCCTCGATAAATTTCCTCACCTAATCTCATACATTTTTCATCGCTAAACTACAGTTTTCTCGCCAATGATATATGAATAATATTCAATTTATATATAATAAAAGTTCTAAAAAACTATTTTCGTCGTTGTAAGTATCTTTCAGCGAGGAAACTGTTCCTCACCAAAGGTAAAATTTTAACAAGGAAATTGATTTTCTTCATTATATGTATCTTTTTCTCGTGGAAACAGTTCCTCAGTAAATGGACTCAAAGACAAGAAAATTTAAATTTATCGATGTAGGTTGTACCCCATATTCCTCGCCAAAGAAGTGCACGGGACTGCTAGTCCCGTGCACTTCCTGGGTATAATGAAATACTCGGGACTAGCAGTCCCGTGTATTTCCTGCACATTCACAAATGTGCATGTATTTCTGCTACGGGAAAATTTCCTATACAAACTCATATTTTAAATGCAACAATCATAAATTACACCATTGCATAAACACATATATCAATTCCCTGTACAAACTCATATGTCAATTCCCTGTATAAACATATATATCAAATCTAAAAATCATAAAATACACCAGAAACTTACGAATCCAAATCCAACAAATCACGCCACAAACCTACTTACAAATCTAATAAGTCACACCACAGTCTCGGCTACAAATCCAAAAATCATCTATTGTCCCGAAATACGTTTGTAATGTACATATCAAAATAAGATTGTAATTTATATAACAATGCCGATTAGCTTATATACATCCAAGAACTCTTCTCCTCCTCCTTTGTCTTCGGCCTCCTCCATCCCGACCTTCGATGAGTTCATGATCCGGTTGCGTTTGTGGTTGTGACGGTCTAGCTCCATCATCAACACGTTGGGAAGGCCCAGTTAGGGGTGGCAAACGGGTCGACCCGACCCGACCCAACCCATATAAAATTTGACCCGACCCGTATAAGTGTGACCCGACCTGACCCGTTTAATAAATGGGTCAATGCGATCCAACCCGTTTATTAAATGGGTTACCCGATCCGACCCATATAACCCAAATGGTAGAGAATACTAAACATGTAGTGTGGTTGTAGTAGAAACTTGCATATTTTATTGTACTCTTTTAAGTGACTTATGCACACAGAAACCAGGTTACTATTTCTGATATGTTTATAAAGGTTCACTGCAAATTTCCGACCTATGCACATTTGGAGATAAACAAAATAATAAACAAACCATCATCAAAAAATGTAACAGAAACAAAACCAGGCATAGATATTGTACTTTTTTAAGTGAAATTCTTTCAAAATATTGAATGGCTACAATGTCATTCTACATACATACGCATCAAAAAAAAATTGGAGCAAGATTACTCCCATTAGAATGTTATACAGGTTCACAAACAGATTCATTTCAAGCTCTCTGCAACAAATCCAATTTCACAAACAGGTTCATTTCAAGCTCTCTGCATATTCTATTGCTTTCTTCTTGACGTGTTTAATTCTTTCTTCATCACACTGTGACTTTTCATAGCCGAGATACTTCATGAATAAGAACTGCAAATTATTCAAAAATAATTTGATAAAGAGGGAAACAACACAAGAAAATAAAATTGAATGCTGAGAATATCAGAACTTGGTGTAATTTCAGTATTCCTAGAATATGCTACCAAAAAGGTAAACTATTGATTACATACCTCAAATTAGAGATGAATGACCAGAATAATACCTCAATGAAATAGCGAGGACCTGCACGTTACAAAAGTTTTAGCGGTACGAGAAGCTGAAGGAACTTTAAAAACAAGGAAAAAGAAAACAGTAATGCGCTTCTGAATGAAGCAGAATGGTTGATGCACCGTTGGAAAATGCTACAAACTTACAGCATGTGTGTGAAGGACATTGAACTTGTAATGAAATGGTCATGAAAGTAAGTGGAATTTTCTCATACATGTAGTACTTGTGCATTTATCTAACTAAAATCCCATCTGTATAACCTGACACAAAAACTCTCAGGAGTCAAGAACAGGCATACGAAGAGATTCAACTTGTTTCACTGTTAAACTAACATCAAAGTGTCCAATCCAAACACAAACACTTTGATCACAAATTAAACTATACAAATGAGAAACAATCAACCAGTCTAACTGTAGAACCCCGTAATTTTTATATGAATATATGTGAATTATTAATAAATAAATAATTCTTTTATGATAAAGTAGTACATGAAACATCTAATATGACCAACATCATTATCTTTAAGCAAATAAAAAACTGTAGGAAACTGTAAATAAATGAATCATAATCATGAACTTTTCATTTTTATTTGTGTTCCAAGGAAAGAAAGAGAAAATACTGAAGCATGACATGTAAGAGAACAAAACATTAACATAAGCATTCCTAAAGATATGCAGAACTGTTGAACTAACTATATAAAAATATGCAGTTGACCACCCAAACACAATTCCAAGAACTTTGGCGAAAAAGCAAGTGTTCTAGACTACTAAAAATTTTAGAACAATGCAGAAGAAAAGAATACAACTTACTACAACCAACTGCAATATGGCAGGTAGTATACAGTTCAATTAACAGTTGCCTGTGAACATACCCAGAATTCAAGTAGCAACAAATGCATCGATTATTTATTGGTATATCAGCCTATGTATCAACTAAGAGGAAACTTTGAGCTACAAAATATCAGTTAAAATATAGTAGACTAATTAAACTTACAGAAAAAGAAAGCTGAGCATGAATCTCTATTGTAAAATGAGAGAAGTGTGAACTTCTTGGATGAGACATCAATTTGGTAACTAAACTGTTAAATTTAGTGAAACAAGTTCTTACCTTCAGCTACCGCATCACAGTATGAGAGATTCATACTTGTGTTGGCATACATTCTCCAATATCTAATTGCATGATATCCTCGGAAAGCTCATCTAATTTTGGTTGCATGTCATCTATCATTAATAAAAAAAATAAAAAAAACCAATAAGCAAATTCATAACATGTATTTGATTCAAAAAAACGTAAAAAAATATAACATTAGTATTTGTCTACCTTTGATACCATATAACCAATCACGCGTGCAAACTAAAGCCTCCATATTGTTATGCTTAAGAGTGCTACGGTATTGGTTAAGGATTCTCCCACCTACACTGAAAGTACTCTCCGAAGCAACCGTAGAAATAGGAACCGCCATTATGTCCCTTGCCAATAGAGAGAGCTCGGGGTATCTATGCTCATTAGTCTTCCAAAATGAAAGAATGTCGAGTGGAGCACCACAGTCAAGTCTTGGTTCATCCAAATAAAGTTCTAATTGGGTTTTTTGAGAACTAATAATTTCTATTTGGGTTTTTCGACTTCCAACAATTATCGCTTTTGATTTTTTTGAACAGGACTAGACATCTCTTCTAATTCTTCATTAGATGAATCTGCTTCTACATTATCCGCTATAGAATTATGGGTAGAATTAGACTCCATTAACTGTGATGAAAAATTACAGAACTACATAAGATTCATAAAATTAAATAAAATTCAACAGATAACACAAATTAACTGATTCTAAACAGAATGGCTCCCATATAACCCCAAATTCTATTCAATCATATAACACAAATTAACTGATTCTTTTTCGCAAAAGATTGAATGTATCAACATGTGGTACATTTAGTTGCCAAATAAACATTGACAACTTCAAATAGAATGGCTCCCATATAACCCCAAATGCTATTCAATCATATAGACTATGCAACATTTATATGCGGCTTTTTTAATTTATAAATAAACAAAAAATGAAGAAACCCAACGCACCTCTACCGAGCACAACAACTGAAACATAGTGGTTTAGAAGATATTCATTGTTCATCACAAAAACAGTAGTGGGCAAAAATAGGAGACCAAATTTGATGGTTTGCATTCACAGATAAATCTGACCTGATGCTTAGAAGCTCAATCTCAACAAGGCTCGAGTTCGATTGAGAGTTCTAACAATCAGTGATCTCTAATTTCAACAAACCTACTTTCGAAAATATGATGAAATTTCTGTTTCAAACTAGCTTGTAATTTCAACAAACCTACTCTTTATTCAGTAATTATAAATTCTGAAATTTTAGAAAAATCTGTAGTTTCAAATTGATATAGACTCAGAAAAATTTGTAGCCATTAATCAGACGTCATTAACATTAGCAGATCTGTAGCCATAATCAAAAAGCCCTAGCTAAGAGTGTACCTCGCCGCTCGTCGAGGATCGTCGAGGATCTATGGCCGCTAGTTCGATGGAGAGAGAGAGAGAACTATGACTGCTTGATGGAGAGAGGAGAACTCGAGCGCTGCCCCTCGCCGCTCGTCGAGGATCGCTGCCGCTCGCCGATGGAGAGAGGAGAACTTAGCTTCGAGGATCGCTGCCGCTCGCCGCCCCTCGCCGCTCGAGAGGAGAGAGAGAAATCTAGGGCTTCGTTTGAGAGAGACGAAGGGTTAGTCGGGTCTGTAGAGGTTCACTTGGGTAAATTCGGGTTAGATGAGTGTTAGACGGGTCAATAGACGGGTCAGTAGATCAACCCATCTAATAAACAGGTAAATTCGGGTTGACCCATTTATGACCCAACCCATATAACTTGACCCATACCCAATATAAATGGGTCGGGTCGGGTCGGGTTGATGGGTTGAGTCATAAATTGCCACCCCTAGGCCCAGCTTCATTGTCGTTTCTGCGTCGTCCTCGTCTGTGTCGTTGTTGACGTGTGTATACTAATTGCGCTACCTCTCGTCCATCATGAAGGTCTTCATGAGTTCGATGTAAGGCTTGGTGAAGCCTCTGCATTATCGACTGATATATTGATGCATGTTTCTGTGCTTCGGGATATGTACCTGCGAGAGATAATTCAAAAAATCCAAAATGTAAAAATTACTTTAAAATTCAAATTACAATATGTAAATTTTATATTTAATTCTATATTACCTGCTCGAGCCAATTCCAAGCCACGATTTGCAATGGTTTGAACATCATCTATTGCTGATACCTGCAAATTTTTTAAAAAACATAATTTAGCAATATTGAAAAATACTAATAAAAATGAACTTAAAATAAATTTGAAAATACTTACTAATTCTCTCTCATCTATACCCCGAATACCGACTATCATCGGGTGGATGAAAACTCTCACTGTATGTCTTTTAGTAATGAATTGTTGAATACCATGGTGAACAATACCGATTATATGGAATTCTCGCACCACCCGGCTAATTGGAGGAAGCCGCAAGAACATGTGCACAAGGTATTCTTGAATCGGATACTTCTCAATGAACAACTCAACTGACACTTGCTTCTCCACTAATTGTTTCATGTCATTCAATTCCTCATCGTCGGTAATCGCCACAACAATAGTTCTACTCTCATTTATCGGACAATTGAAGAACACTTTAATTGCATACCATGCTTTATTAATTTTCGTAACTCTTGTATTTCATTCATCATTCCATCAAAAATTAACGACTTAGCTAGCTAGCATAAACATTTTCCTAGAACCTCCCTCATACATACTATTCAATCTGACGCCGAGGCTCCCATTGAAGAAGCAAATAATGGGTATAGAGTTTGCCATCGAAGTTGAAAATCAACAGTCCATCATATGTAAATAATCTATTATAACTGAAAATATTAATCTTAATTTAAAGTCAAATTTAAAACCCTAATCTCAACTGCAAAGCAAATAATGGCTAAATTCCCTAATCCCAAATCACATTATTCATGTCTAAACCCTAATCATGGTTAAACCCTAATCTCAAATCACATTATTCATGTCTAAACCCTAATCACATTATTCATGTCTAAACCCTAATTCCCTAATCTCAACTAAATACATTCCCAAATTTCAACCTGTGACAGTGGGGGTCCCGCCATCCTATTGAAGAGGATTGGCGGGGGATTGTGGCTTTGGTCCTAACTATATGAAGGTTTGACCAAGTGGGAGTTTGATGTAGCCCACCTGAACTGCTAGTCTCACCTGTTTTGAGCGGTTCACTAAAACCCTAATCCCAACTGAACCGAACCCTAATTCCCTAATCTCAACTAAATACATTCCCAAATTTCAACCCTAATCCTAAATCTTAATTAAATCCATTCCTAAATCTCAACCATAATCCCAAATCTTAACTAAAAAGGAAATTTCATGGCTAATCAAAATTAACAAAAAAAAAACACCTTTACCTTGGTCGGCGGCGGCGGCGGTCGAAGCATGAAGTCACAGGTACTTGGGTTTTACCCCCCGATCGCACGGGACTGCTAGTCCCGAGTTTTTTGAAAACTGGCTCGAAATACACGGGACTAGCAATCCCGTGTACTTGGTTTTTACCCCGATCGAAGCGTCTGTAAAAAACACGGGACTGCTAGTCCCGTGTTTTTCAAAGCTAGGTCGAAATACATGGGACTAGCAGTCCCGTGTATTTCGTAAAATTTATTCGACAGCAAAACCGACCCTTTTCAGAAGAAAAGGGTCGGTTTTACTGAATAATTTTCTAGGAGGTCGGTTTTGCTATTTAAAATACGAAAAAGGTTGATTTTGAAAATTTGTCCAATTTTCTCACTACCTTCGAAGACATTATCCTTCTTTAACAAAGAAGATATCTAGATCCGAAGAGAGATGGTACTTGATTAGATTTGCTTTCTTTGTTCACAAAATTAACCGTGAATCTGATTAGATTGCTGATTTGTGTCGTAATTTGTAAAGCAGTTTCCAATAGGATCAGCAGAATGCATATGAAAGATGGAGAACGCCCCAGTGAGATAGATCATACGTCCAATGCGAGAGCACCATGTTTTGAAGAAAGAAAAAGAGTCGGCAGTCACGGCATCAGTTTTCATCAATCCTTTTCAATGAGAACTCATCAATCTTTTTTCTGAAAGCTGAACTGAGCATAAGGAATTTGACTCAATATGCAGAACCTCCAATCAACATTCTCTGTGACTCCAATCTGAACCAAGTGCTTTAAGCAAGTGGGTGTATGGAACTCATATGCAGGGTCAGCATTGGTTTGATCTGTATTGCAACAAACCAAAGAAAAAGATGTGGACCTAGAAGATTCAGGAATCATGAAGTACCCGTAAACATTCAAGACCTCAGGTATATCACAGCTCCACACAACACACTGAACATCGAAAAGATAAAAACTAGAACCACAGCAACCAGTGAGAAGCTCAGAGGCTCTTCTTCTTTTCCACATAAGCGACGCATACACCACAGAAACTTAAAATAATTTGAGTTCTTGCACCTACCAAAACAAGTAAATAAGTTTTGCAGTTTTCTTAACTAGTAAGAATCCCAAAGGATAATGTTACTGATAAGCAAGCTAGAAGGAAGCAGAACTATCAAGTTCTTAGCCTCATCAACTGTTGCGTATTCCTCAGCTTAATAGACCTCCAAAGAGGGATGGGTCAAATTACAACTAATCGTGTACATTCAACTCACTCATCTTCTTGTTTTACCAGAAAGAACAAAAAGGGGGGCGGCAGTCTTGGGCAAAGAAAAGACACCAGCACCAAAACATTTGCCATTGAATGCCGCGCGCGTAACCAATGAACATGCTGATGAGTTCAAGTAGGACCACAAATGAGGTGCCACCTGTCAATGCAATGATGTGATTGTGCAAGACTAACCCTTTGCATATATAATCCAGACTCCTGGGAGGGATTGGCTAGTGACCACAAGCCGATATCCAAATGACGTGTCGTTTGCAGCAGCACTCACCAATCTTTCTTCCAACTCTTGGCTGCCAATATAAGGCAAGGCAACCTCTCTAGAGCATCCACACCCTTAGTCCTTCTGTGGTTAGCAGGCAAACCTCGCGCGGTATTGGAAATTGCAGCAATCCTCATCTCACCTTGAAGAAGACGGAAGGATGCTGGAGAACAAAGCAATCATAGGTGACACTGACATGCTGCAGACTATGCAGCAAGAAGCCCTCCATCTCGCAGGGAAAGCCCTTGATGAGTTTGATATCACAGACTCCACTGAGATTGCACGCTTCATCAAGAAGGTATATATGCTCTAAATTATGAATACTGAGACGCAAGTCCTTTCCCCCCTCTTCCTTCCCTTAGAAATCGTGTCGGTACAGGAGTTCGACAAGTTGTATGATCCAGGGTGGCAATGCATCGTTGGTACTGATTTTGGCTCATTCGTCACACATCACAGGGGTTGCTTCATCTATTTTAGTATAGGAAGCCTTGCAATCTTGCTCTTCAAGGGATCAGCAGCTCCTCACGTCGAGACTGAGCGGTCAATAGCGAAGGAGCTGGTGAAGGCATGAATCCTCTGCTTTTTTATTATTATCCTCTGACCCTTATTGTTGTTATTTTAAAGGGGATAAATTGTAATGTAATGAGGAATACATCTCCTGTTTTGCTTCATACAACACAGTTTTCTGTCTGTCTGTAATTTTTTAGTATGGAAAAATACACTTGGAA